GTTGCTTTGGAGGAAGTCATTACTAATGCTTTTCTTCTATTTCTTCCCATTTTTGTCCCTTTCAAGACTCAGTTGTCCTTAGGATTTTTGGAGGAAGTCATTACTAATCCAAAGTTACTCAGTGGATTGCCTAAGCTCACTGATTTTTGTCACACCGGTGGGCTGGAAGTATATCATTCCATGATGCTCAAGTATGCTCCTAAGAGAGAGCATTTTTCTTWCAAAGGAATGATTGCAAGGACTCAGCTTGCAGTCATAGACAATAATGAAAATGCTGATCAAGACAGGTGCCAAAGCTGGAGAGGCCAGGTTTCGTAAATTTTTCCCCAAAGCACACAAGAATTGGGTAGCAAAGCCCATCTTGCAAGCCAAGACCTATGCTTTTTTACCTGAATTGCAAAGAGATGTTCTAAAGAACTGCCAAGATGGCAAGACTGCACCCCTTGAACCAGATGTTGAACTCCCAAAGAACATTGCTAGTGAACCTGCCCCTGACAAGCAGGAGTTGATACGTAGGCATCGCTCAAGATTCAGTAGGTAAATTTTATAGCTGCTTCAGATTTTTCCAAAATAGTTGTAACCTTTAGAAACAATGACACATTTATGTAACAGTCTTTTCATAAAAAGCGAATGGAGCTATTTGTTGCTTTGTACCTCTGATGGTACAACCATTTTAAAATGGCCATCTCCTATGAAATTTAGTAACTAAATTCAAAACAATCCAGTTCATCTTGTTAYATTATCAATCATAAACRGTATTGTTGGGTTGAATGATGCTAAGAGTGGTGATGTAATATAGTTTTATCAGAAGTTTACTAAAACAAATGGAAAAACCTCACTTTATAGTAAAGAAAACAACATGTGAAAGAGGTTTTAACATTTGTTAAGGTCTGAGGAAAGTGTAAGTCTGTGTCATTTTGAAGAGATTTTGAAAAAAATATGTAAGGAGTTGATGCCATTTCTGTATACATAATGAAAGTACATATAATGGAGATTTGAAAAATACAGGTCAACACCCTTCTTGTTTGTTTGTGAAGGGGTGAGCCGTATCCATAGCAACAACTTAAAAACGCTTTAAACTCTTATAACTCCTTTTAATATTGAATTTTTTTAATTATTTCTTCAAGAATCATAAAGATAATATAAAAATGCAACTTTTTATGGTAGGATACCTGAAAATATGAAAAAATAATAATTATAAAATTAAAATTAAAATAAAAAAATAAAAAAAATAAGAATAAAAATAATAAAATGGAAACTTTTGCGTAGCAGCTTCGTTAYGACAAACAAAGAAAAATCTCGAGGTATCCTACCATAGATCTTTTTAAAAGCTTTCAGTCTATAAGCCCCCCAAATATCTCTCGAAAATAATGTAATCTGAAAGAGTTATAAAGTTTAGGAAACGGTGCTTTGTTAAAAACTGAATTTCTACGAATTTCTACGGAATATTGCACGATTTTTAACCCAAAGACGCAATATCCAGTCGCCATTTTGTTTCTSGAGTCACATTACGTCATATCGTGCGATTTATTGCCGATTTTCCCTTGAAAACCCGCCGAAATCGATCGGAGTTGGATCGGTCCTTGTTTCCCGCGAAAAGTAGTATATAAACATGATGTGATCCATTGCAACACCCCACGGAGCATGTGGAGATTACTGTAACACGAGCTAGAAAATTCTGCTGTTCAAATTGACCACGAAAAACAGTCAACAGACTAATTGTTTTGTCTTCAATAGACAGTTCTAGCTACATAACATTAGAAGTGTACCTGTATTTAAAATGGGTAATTCTGAATGAGCAAACAACGACATTGTAACCGAATACTCGCATGTTGCAGGTAGTAAACGCATGGTAGTTTGACCTCTGAAACGATCAAGCTGTGAAGACTTTATCTCGTGTTTCACAAACAAAGCACAAATTTTCCCGCGAATTTATGAAGTTCTTGGTTATTTTTCTCATAGAAATACAATGTTTTGAAGATTTAAAGGGGAAGTCCGATTCCATACAACTCATATTGAAATAAAAGTTTAATAGATTTACAATGTTTCTATGAAGTATTACCTTTGTAGGCTCAATTGTAGCTGAGAAAGCATTTTCGAAAGTCACAGAGAAATGAAGACTCGAATGCCGCCATCTTGGACATGTCATGTAAACACAGCGATACTAATGGACAGCGGCAGTGACGTCACTGCGCGGTCGCGACCAAAATTCAAGTTAGCTGTTTAGTTTTTACTTCGATCTACTTCGCTTTTTGACCTTTTTAGAAATAAATTATAGCTAAATTGTTGTGATGAGTGGCAGTAGCAGTAGTTCTTCTTTGAGTGACAGCAGTAGAAGTAGCAGTGATTGTTTGGACGACTTTAATCATGGAGATGAGATTCATGGCTATATGACTCGTCAGCTTACAATACTCGATTACAAAACTCCGATTGGTAAGAAATCTGTATTTTCTAGTATAGTTTTGGATATTTTATGTCGACCTGAGCAGTATTGATGCAAACACGTGCGAATGTGCAAATAATGGACCGAGAAGTCGAGTGTATTTGCTGTCACGAGGTCAATAAAATCCTACAGAAAAACCAGTTCGTTTCTAAAGAAGAAAATCTGATGATCAATTGTATTATTGACAATCCTGGGTTTAAATCTGTTTGCCTTGATCGATGGGTACTGGAGGCAGCTTGGTATCAATACCGACAACAATACGGAAACGACAACAACATACCTGAACATAAACGAAATAGACACATCGCTTATAGACAGTTGGTTMGATGGTGCTGGGGAGTGTTAGGGAAGGATAWACGAGTGGTGTTGCCCTCATGTGCTGTCATGTGCATTCGTGCACATTTCCCTCCTCCTGGTCTTGAGGAAGATTTTCAGTTTGTTGGGTTCCATTATGCTGATGATTAAGTCCAGGTAGGCAAACAATCTGTTGAAAATAATTATCCTACTTACTTACTAAACGATATTGAAATTGAATTAAAACATAGAAATTCTAGATGATGAGTGTCACTGTATAGAAAATATCAGTGTTTCAGTTTCTCTACAAACTACATTATTTTTGCAAATTTTATTTTTGTAATGTTSATAAGACAATTTTCTTACAATAAATATGTGATTATTTGTTTATAAAGGAGTACATTCTTTGCATCAATAATACATTTTGTAGCTTACTTTTGTTATATTAATATAATTTAAGAAATTATGTTATTATCAATTAATTGCATGGTGTAGATTTTTGACAACTAATATATACTGTATGTATATTATATTATGTAATATATGCAATATGAGCGGCTGTGTTGTATCAGATATACACTACAATAATATTTCTGATACAACACAGACTCCTCAGTATATATGTGCTGTATGAAATTATAGCTTTGTATGACAACGTATAGTGATACATTTAAATATAGCTGCATGTATCTATAGGAAATTATTACACTATACTCACCATTTATTTTTTGTGTTTCACCATTCTTGAAACGTGCATTTTTATCACCTCTTCTTTTGGTGGCCTAGGGAGTGCAGCAATGTTTTTAGGGATTCTCGCTGGTGTTTTTTTNTGAAACGATCAAGCTGTGAAGACTTTATCTCGTGTTTCACAAACAAAGCACAAATTTTCCCGCGAATTTATGAAGTTCTTGGTTATTTTTCTCATAGAAATACAATGTTTTGAAGATTTAAAGGGGAAGTCCGATTCCATACAACTCATATTGAAATAAAAGTTTAATAGATTTACAATGTTTCTATGAAGTATTACCTTTGTAGGCTCAATTGTAGCTGAGAAAGCATTTTCGAAAGTCACAGAGAAATGAAGACTCGAATGCCGCCATCTTGGACATGTCATGTAAACACAGCGATACTAATGGACAGCGGCAGTGACGTCACTGCGCGGTCGCGACCAAAATTCAAGTTAGCTGTTTAGTTTTTACTTCGATCTACTTCGCTTTTTGACCTTTTTAGAAATAAATTATAGCTAAATTGTTGTGATGAGTGGCAGTAGCAGTAGTTCTTCTTTGAGTGACAGCAGTAGAAGTAGCAGTGATTGTTTGGACGACTTTAATCATGGAGATGAGATTCATGGCTATATGACTCGTCAGCTTACAATACTCGATTACAAAACTCCGATTGGTAAGAAATCTGTATTTTCTAGTATAGTTTTGGATATTTTATGTCGACCTGAGCAGTATTGATGCAAACACGTGCGAATGTGCAAATAATGGACCGAGAAGTCGAGTGTATTTGCTGTCACGAGGTCAATAAAATCCTACAGAAAAACCAGTTCGTTTCTAAAGAAGAAAATCTGATGATCAATTGTATTATTGACAATCCTGGGTTTAAATCTGTTTGCCTTGATCGATGGGTACTGGAGGCAGCTTGGTATCAATACCGACAACAATACGGAAACGACAACAACATACCTGAACATAAACGAAATAGACACATCGCTTATAGACAGTTGGTTCGATGGTGCTGGGGAGTGTTAGGGAAGGATAAACGAGTGGTGTTGCCCTCATGTGCTGTCATGTGCATTCGTGCACATTTCCCTCCTCCTGGTCTTGAGGAAGATTTTCAGTTTGTTGGGTTCCATTATGCTGATGATTAAGTCCAGGTAGGCAAACAATCTGTTGAAAATAATTATCCTACTTACTTACTAAACGATATTGAAATTGAATTAAAACATAGAAATTCTAGATGATGAGTGTCACTGTATAGAAAATATCAGTGTTTCAGTTTCTCTACAAACTACATTATTTTTGCAAATTTTATTTTTGTAATGTTSATAAGACAATTTTCTTACAATAAATATGTGATTTATTTGTTTATAAAGGAGTACATTCTTTGCATCAATAATACATTTTGTAGCTTACTTTTGTTATATTAATATAATTTAAGAAATTATGTTATTATCAATTATTAATTGCATGGTGTAGATTTTTGACAACTAATATATACTGTATGTATATTATATTATGTAATATATGCAATATGAGCGGCTGTGTTGTATCAGATATACACTACAATAATATTTCTGATACAACACAGACTCCTCAGTATATATGTGCTGTATGAAATTATAGCTTTGTATGACAACGTATAGTGATACATTTAAATATAGCTGCATGTATCTATAGGAAATTATTACACTATACTCACCATTTATTTTTTGTGTTTCACCATTCTTGAAACGTGCATTTTTATCACCTCTTCTTTTGGTGGCCTAGGGAGTGCAGCAATGTTTTTAGGGATTCTCGCTGGTGTTTTTTTTTCCTTTTTAGTTTTGATTTACATGCTCTTACTTCACCAATCAGCTCTTTCAAAAAATCAAATGATTTTGCCTCTAATATTGGCTTTGCCACCCATTCTTTCCTGTTCTTTGGAAAAACCACTTTGTATCTGGCTTCCCCCTTGTTGTTATTGCTTGTGATCGACCACAGTTTGGATTGTGGTCCATAACAGCCAGCTGGACCCTACCAAGCATGCTTTGGTACGAGAAATGCTTTCTTTTTGGAGCATATTTGATAAGAAGAGAATGGAATACCTCAAGATTTCCTGTGTGGTGATATTCAGTGATCATTCTTAAGAGGCAATGTCGGTAAGAATCAGACATTTGTGGCAAAGCTCGAAAAATCGATTCGGCTCATATTTTAAACATAGGTAGGCCTTGATACAACAACAACTCTATTTATTTTTGGAAAATGTTCCTTTTTTTACAGGAAAATTGAGGAAAACGATTTTTTGTCAAAATCGGCACTCTGAGCATAATATTTTTTGTCCATATTTGTCTACTTCGTATGCCAAATCCAAATTATCTAACAACTCAAAACTTGCATAAAACCTTTATTTATATCTTAAGTTATGTTTGAGCTTGATTTCGAAACTCTTTATAATTTTTACTTATTTTTATTTACATAATATTTGATCGTATCGATTCTATTATGCAAAATAAGGGTCAAAATATTGATCATTTTCCTTATGTGCTAACCAAAAGTATTCCACGATATTTAGCTATCMAAAAGTATTGATAATAAATGTAAGGTGGACAAAAAATCAGTTTGGGTAAATGTAATCAAGCGAAGTTATAGAGTCCTAAACATTGACAAAATAGCGCTTATCTTCGATTTGTCGGCGAGCGTCTTTTGATCAATTAGCGTGTTTATGTCAACAACTAATTGCACTAAAACAATATAAACTTTATTTCAAAGTGTCTCTTAAAAGAGAAAACAAGGAAAGCATGGATTTGTAGTCAGAGTTTTGATCAGGGTCAAGGTGTTTTTAATTGCGGACTTCGCAAACAATTGTTAGATATGCAAATTAAAAACCTTCGCTAATAAACTTCATAGTGAAATAATATACTGAAAAAATCCCAAATTGTGAAGGACGGCTTCTCKACCAAATTTTGTAATGTAATGCAGTGTTCATGGCAAAAAAGCAGCAACAAGAAACCGAATTGTAGATGTGACTGCAAAACACAATACTAAACTTCTTGCCTTAAAATCATAGTGGTTGTCTTTTTAGGCATTCGGAATATTAAAAAAATACATGTTATTGTTTTTATCTGTTTATTTATTTATTTTTTTGATTATCTGAAAAGCTCAATAAAAAAATTATAGGCTTTTTTCCTTTTTTTTGCACTGAAGTACACTATTTCCAGTAAACATGCAGAATATCCATATTTATAATATATGCCTATCATATAATTATCTTATGAATAACCTCTATTTTATTTAATTTGATTTCTAAGCCTGTTTGAATCTTTTGTTGTCGTCACTCTTTCCCTTCCCTTTTATCGTATGTTCCATTAGCTCGTTATTGATTGAAAATATTATATTTACCTGTTTTTTGCATTATATAACACTTATTTCCAGTAGGTTCTCTTCTAACGTTGACAGCTGCAATTACGAATCAATTCTTCTTCTATAAGTTTGATGTACGGCTTCTTTAGTTTCCTTTGATTTGGCGTGTCTGAAGTTCAAAGTTAGCGCAGATCTCTTTTAACATGAAGACTGAAAATTTGGGCAGTTTTGATTCTGAAACCATTTTGCATAAGTCGTACTTCTCATACATTACTGGATGTCGAATGGCTACCTCCTTCATCACTTCAGACGTCATCAATTCTAAATCTTCTTCAAGTTGCTGCTTTCGTTGTTGCTCTAATGATTCATCATCATCATCGAAGTCAACATCCACCTTTTTCTTTGAAGCCACTCTAGAGAAGAAACTTGAAATCTGCCGAGCANGGAATTCCTCCAGAAGATAGTATAGCGTCTCTCATCTGTTCTGGAGTTTCAATGTCATTGCCGGCATTTTGATACAAATTCATGTGATTCTTTATCAAAGCAGCTTTTCGATCACATGATCCCTTGCTGCCTTGTGGGTCTGAGAAATCAGTGCGTCGTAAAATAATACTGTGCTTTGATGCTATCTTTAGGATGCTCAGCATAGTCGCCGCTGAATGGTAGCATCCTGCGTTGTCTTGCTTTAGGTAAACACATTTAACAAATGGATTTGCTCGTTTTAGTGCTTGGAGTACATCATCAAAAATCGCTAAAACAGCAGAGGGCTGACTGCAGCTTTCAAATATGTGAACGAATGTTAACATTTGCAATTCCCCGGCTTTGGTCTTTCGCACTGCTACTGTAAGATGCCAAGAAATGCCCCTCTTGCCGAACCAGTCTCTCTGGCTTTCACGAAACTTTTTAGGGACGAATTTCATGGCCCAATCGGAAACTAATAAGACTGACTCTTCATCCAAACTGTCGACGATTTCATGCCTAGCGGAATCTTGATTTGCATTTCTAAGCAAGTGTGCTTTTTCCAAGCTTCAATGCTACTTTTACAATATACCATTTCGCGGATAATTCGAAATTTTACATTACGTCGTTATGGTAGGCATTGACATCACTGGAAAGAGTGTCATAAAACCAGCAAATTTGCCAAGTTTAGAAATAATCTGATTTAAATTCAAAGAGATACGGCACTTCAAAAACACTSAATTTCGCATAGAAAGTTTGGCGAGTTTGTGACAAGTCAAGGTCAACCTCGATCTCATGCCGACAGCCATACATTTCTTTGTAAATTTTGCCGACTTTTAAACGCTGTGTCTYCTTTAATTTTCATCGAATCATRCTAAAACCTGATRAACTTACTAATTTTATACTGTGCTTTCCAGTGKTGGTAATAGTTTTTCGATATTTGCTCAATTTCTAATRGCTGTGTTATCCGCGAAGTGGACTATTGGTGATTATGTATTCCATTTCCTCTCTTTGTTCTACTGTACAGTCAGACTTCAAGAGATTGGTTTGTATATTATCAATAGCATCAAAAAGCATGTTGCATCTGTCGCACTGCAAGTTGTGTTCATGATCACAGTGACTGAAATGATCTAGTTTTTCCACCTTTACGCAGAAGCGGGTATTCTTGATGGGGGGCAGTGGTGCGCGACAGCCATGTAGCAATACATGATGTCTAGCAATGCCGTAACGGTATTTCGTTAAACAGGGTATCCATTTCAACAATTCTTTGTAGCTTACTTACTTACCATTATGGATAATATTTGCCGACAAGAACTCCAATGTTCTGCATTATTATAGCATTCCGACAGTGAATCCATTAGTGAGCAATCGATATCAGCGCTGATGCTTTTATGTAAGTGACCAAATAGATGGTTTGATTGCCCTGGAGCAATTTCTGGACCACTTGTTGCGCTTTCCTTGAGTGTAATCTTTTTGTGCGATCTGATGCCACTCCCCATCGCGTTGTTAAAGTGTTTCGGATTGGACGTATATCTCTAGAGCACAGATATTCATTTAATTTTTCCTTCGGTGATTTTTCAGTACAAGGAGTTGAGAACATGTACATAGAATCTTCACTAGGCTTGTAAACGCTCATTGGGGTTTCAAGGTAACTATACGATGCGGTTTGATCGGTGCGTGAGGGCGTTCTTAGATCTGTAGGGRAATTTTCAAGTTCACTTTTCTTTTTAGGCGAAAAACACACCTCTTTATCATCTCCATCCTTAAATTGAAGCATACACAATGTTCATCAATTTGTTTTTAAATGCTGCCAATTGATACAACACTGCACTCACTGTCAGCATTTCGGTTTTTCTAATAGACTATAGCGCGTTTCAAAGACTGTAACTTATTACATGTTAAAAGTGTACGATTTATTTTGTCTCTTCTTTGCAGATTCCAATACTCTAACCCAACCTCCCCTCACYCCTCCCACACGTCCCCCTATTCTACTATTTCATTCAGAAACCTATCACGTGAGTAACGTCATGACGTATCGAATATCTAGACTTCGCAGGTATGATGCTTTTGTTCCAAAAATATTTTTATCTTCCACGAGATTTTTCATAAATGCGCTCAAAAATGTATAAACGTAGAGTTAACTGACCAGAGTCATGTTGCTTAGATCTTGACTAACATCTGATTCTTGTTGATTTTCTTGCAATCGTTTTAGGAGCTTTCTACAGTTAACACACACACCTGAAAAATAGCGAAACACGGTACAATCATACAATCCTCACAGCTGTGTTCAACTAGAAATTGATTAAGGRAAAACACGCATACCTGATCCAACCTGAATAAAAGTGCCGGTTTTCTTTAAAACTAATGAGCTTCTATTTTACCGAGACCTCTTTTCTACCTTCGGACATTTTCCTTTGCCTTTGCCGCCATGATTTGATATCTCTACCGGAACTCTGCACCTTTCAACATACCTCCTCGTCCAACCCAACCCTAACTTTGCTCGGTGAAGAGGACAGATTGTCCACGATGAAATGTCTTTAGGAAGCGAAAACAATCCAGCTCTACTTAGAATCAAGTCAACTTCATCTTTATGTCCAGAAAACATGAAAGTGCTCTCATGATGAGATATGCTTTTTTTGCAAGAAAGGAGAGGAATTACACTAGACTTCTTTTGCTTATCTTTTGGATAGTGACCACAGGTGCCACCAACAACAACTTGTAGAGAGCAGCAAATTTCCATGTCTCTGACTACACACGTAAGAAGCATCTGATGTGTTTTTAAGATTAGTCTGATGTTTTAATAGACAGGAAAACAACTTAACTTGTCAATTTCAATTATACGTATTTATAATYGATTTGTGTTTTGAGGTCACATTTACAAATCAGTTTCTTGTTGATCTTTTTTTGCCATGAACACTGCATTACATTACAAAATTTGGTCGAGAAGCCGTCCTTCACAATCTAGGATTTTTTCAGTATATTATTTTACTATGCAGTTTATTACCGAAGGTTTTTAATTAGCATATCTAACAGTTGTCTGCGAAGTCCTCACTTAAAAACACCTTGAGCCTGTTCAAAACTCTAACGGATTTATCTCAAACAAATCCATGATTTCCTTGTTTTCTCTTTTAAGAGACACTTTCAAATAAAGTTTATATTGTTTTAGTGAAATTATTTGTTGGCATAAACACTTTAATTGATCAAAAGACGCTCGCCGACAAATCGCAGATAAGCGCTATTGTCAATGTTTAGGACTCTATAACTTCGCTTGATTACATTTACCCAAACTGATTTTTTGTCCACCTTACATTTATTATCAATACTTTTGGATGGCTAAATATTTTAAAAGTTTTATGCAAGTTTTGAGTTGTTAGATAATTTGGATGTGGCATACGAAGTAGATAAATATGGACAAAAAATATTATGCTCAGAGTGCCGATTTTGACAAAAAATCGTTTTCCTCAATTTTCCTGTAAAAAAAGGAAAATTTTCCAAAAATAAATACATAGGAGTTGTTCTTGTATCAAGGCCTACCTATGTTTAAAATATGAGCCGAATCGATTTTTCGAGCTTTGCCACGAATGTCTGATTCTTACCGACRTTGCCTCAGTAAGCATCAAACAAATTTGACAAATGTTGGCAACAGTCGAAAAATCAATTTCATTTCATGAAATGCCTGATGTATCCCAATCATCGTGGTGTAATTTCTTTTGAAAAATTCTGTTTATTTTTGGAGAAATATTTTTTTTCGTGAGACCTATTGAATATGCTAATTTTAGAGGCTTTCGATCTCGTATTTCATGTGCCGTCGTGTGACAAATCCTTGACCTCTCGCATTGCTTACAGAATATTTATGTAGCCTAACATAAGTACTTCGTTCACTGCAATTATGAAAGATTGAAATTCAGTTTTTGATTTTTAAGGAAATGTTTGATTGACCCTACTTTTTACAACTGAAAAATATGCCTCTAAATAACGGCTTTTTAAACTTTGTGCGATTCAACTAAATGTAACAAGCTTCGAGATTTACAAAGTCGAAAGATCGCTTGTTCTAGTGATGTAAAAAATTGTTTGCGTATTTGCTTTKTTTCTATGAAAATTGGAGTCAAAGTTCCGTAAAATTCGGTTGTTTACAACAGTGAAATCTACAACATGCGGCACAGGAAGCCCATGGACTCCTGTCCTGGGTTGCTAAAACAACAAAAATTGTATGGAATACACAAAGATCCCTTCGCTATTCACTCTAATTGAATCGTTTGACATTAGTGTAGGTTTTGTACAAATGTTTTTTTTTATAAATGTAAATTAATTATATGAATAATAAGATCATGAACAWGGCATTGGACATTCGACGGATATCGTTACTTACTTTACTTCCGCTATTTGTAGACAAGCGTGCTTTGCATACGCATTTCCGTTGTAAATTTATTAGTTTGGTTATCATATAACAGTAGTGTGTGTAAACTTTCAACAAGCTTCGTGGACTATGAGCTTATAGTYCATTCGGCTTCAAGTCGTGAAAATGTTACATAAACCTTTCCATGTTATGTGCTTAGTCTCATCTCAATATCATCGCAGTTGACAAGTCCGCTTTATTTAGGCACTGCGCAATATTCATCGGTAGCCAAAAAATCAATAAAGTTGATTATAGCCCCCCTTCRCAAACGAGATATATTACACTCTGCCCACCCACCCAGTGAATTCATTTATTTCATTATTGGTGGAGTTGTCGCAAATCGTGGCACGTATTTCTTAAGAAGTTTTCGAATCTGACACCGTTTTAGACTTTGCCCACCTCTTTAAGCACATAAAATTAGATTTTTCCTCCCCCCACCTCTGGACACTCAACCCCTCTCCTAATAAATATTGCACAGTCCCTTTTACTTCTCTTGGGACTAGTTCTGMATAAAGGAGAGGAAAGCCCTGTTGGAGGCTAGCTGCTCATTTCAGTCAATGGGTCCTTGCTCATGTTGATTTGACCGTAGAGATCTTTTTAAAAGTACTCAGGTCATAACACAACTGATTTGCATAGAAGATCTTGATAGTCACTTAAGTACCTGGAAMTTTTCTGGTGTTTTGAATGAATTTTTTGTTGTCACGCTGCGGTCAGTTTAAAAGACCAGAAAACGTAGAGTCGATAACGATTTGCACTTGGGACTGGTTGGACTCGTGTCGGCAATACGAGAAATATCTGGACAAAAGGGTAAGTTGTCTAAAGCGAAACAAACAGATTTCTTAAGTAATTTTTAGACACAGTGGTAGACTTATTCATTTTGTAAGTTGGTGAAATATCAGGGACCGCGGAGCGTAAATTTGTTTAGGGGGGTAGCGCCGAGGAGGTACTAGGGGGGTGCGGAAATTTTTGAAATCTTTTTCCGACATTTTGAATTTNATGAAAAATTATCATTATCATTATCTGGGGATTCTTGGACTTTTTGTTGGTCTTTTAGCTTAAAGCGAACCTCGCGACACTTAGAATTAACAGTGTTGCGGAAGTTCTTTTCGCTGGGGCTTGACCCATTTTCAGGAAACACTGTAAACGCAAGCCCTGTGGAGACAAGCAGTAAATAATTAGGTTATCATGTCCAATTGTAATATAAGTTGACAATTACACAATAGTGCCCATTACACAAAGCATTCAACTGAAATAGTAAGGAAATCGATCCGACTAATTCTTGGAAGCTAGCGTTTACATTGGAAAATTCTAAAATCAATATAGATATGCCACCTTAAGCAAAGCAATCAAAACATAACGCAAAAACAAACGTTTTATAAGTTGGTTTTCCCCTTGTCGAGGCAGCTTTTGATTCTCTTCCCCTCTAGGTTTGAAGATGCCATTTCCTCGTTTGTGAAGACTGCTTCCATACAGTCCCTCAGAAAGGGGCCTCTCTTTTTTGCCCTCGATTCTCAGAAGAGTGTTTGACACGACACCCATGTACGCGTGGAAGCTATTATTCATCGAATCGACAGCCTGAAAATATAAATATAACAAAACAACTGTTATTATATATTGTATAGGTTTTGCAAAAGTATGAGTTTTGTTGTTGTTTTTTTCACAAAGAGCGTATCCCGTCTTGACCTTAAATGGAGTGACGTGACACAATAATATTAGAGATTTAGCAAAACGATCATATTCGTGACAGTCAGGAGAGTGTACGATAAGTAGGCAATTAGGAACTACAAATATCATCATCATTTTATTCAAATGTGTACCATTGTAGTGCTTTCAAAGGTCTAGCCATTTTTCATCAATCGAATTCAATTGTTGTTTCAGCTGCTGAGTTTGCCGACAGAATACCGTTTAATTTCCCTTTCATCATAATTGCCTTATACACGACTCTCAATACGTCTGATGAGGAGCGGTTACCAAGGGCGAGCTCGCATCAAATCGAGGCCACAAAGGCATCAAATTAAAACAAACTTGACCCCCGAAACGAAGCGTGCAAACTGGTTCATTGATAAGCTTTTATTCTCTAGAACAAAAACTCTAAGTGGAGTTTTCTTTAAAGCACTTGAAGTTAAACTATTCATTGATGTCCTGCAATGGCCTGAACAATACCGAGTCATTGTTGCGTTTACAAGTGTACGGAGAAGGGATACCGAGACGCGGAGGGCAACAAAATCTCCTTCAAGTTTCCGACCGAAAAAAGTCTGAAACAAAAGTGGAAAGTAGCTATTAGGAGAGAAGAAGGTCGTCATTTTAAGATTACAGATGCCACTAAGGTATGTTGAAGACATACGGACATACGGAAAACTCTTGCTGGAAAGTATACTTTRAAACCAGGCGTCGTTCCTTCGGTGTTCACATGGCGCACTTCCCCTCGTAAACGGAAACCTCCTAAAGAAAGAAGTACAGCTGCAGTCCCTAATAACTTACCTGATTTAGATGACAGTGTAGAAGAATGTGTTGTTCAAGAGGTCGAAGAATTGCAAGTAAATGAAGTTCTTCTTCTATTTGTCGAGATTGCCACTCAGACTGATTACGATGCAGCTGCGTTCGAAGCCATTTTGACGGAAGTCACAGTGCAAAGTGACAAGATTAAATGTCTTGAACAGGAGATCAATGAGCTACAAACTAAAGCAAACGAGCTAGAAGTAAACTATGAAAGACTTAAAACAAAGGTTTTCAAGCTTGATCGATTTATGGCAATTAATAATGCAGCGCATTTCTACACAGGTTTTGAAAATTRGGACGCATTTATGGGCTTATATCGATACCTCAGTCCAGGACAAAAGGGAGAAAGTATTGTGTATTGGTATGCATCGAATACAAAAAGTCCATCTGGTGAAGTAAATATTGATAGAGGTGGAAGACCCAGAGCTTTGATTCTGTTAGATGAATATTTTCTCGTGATGTGTCGTCTTAGGCAAAGATTTCACGAGGAGCATCTTTGCCATTTATTTGACATATCATTGTCAACAGTTAGCAGGATTTTTATTTCTTGGATCAATTTTATGTTTCTGAAGCTTGGTAGCCTCACAATATGGCTTTCAAGGGAAGCAGTAAATGATACAGTTCCAGAAGAATTCATGAAGAAATATGCTTCAACAAGGGTCATCATTGACTGCACCGAGATTAAATGTCAAATGCCTAGCAGCCTTCAGTTGAATGGTGAATTGTTTAGCAGTTACAAAAACCACACAACACCAAAGGGTTTAGTTGGAATCTCACCTGGTGGGGCAATTACCTATGTCAGCCAGCTATACACCGGTAGCATTTCTGACCGTGAAATTGTCATGAGGAGTGGCTTTTTGAAACTCCCTTTTGATAAAGGAGACTTGATTATGGCAGACAAAGGCTTSACCATTGAAGACCTTCTGCCCTTAGATGTCAATGTTAATTTACCGCCCTTTCTTGGTAACTCAGGTCAAATCCCAGCTGAAGATGTCGTCAAGACGCCAGAAATAGCCAGCTTGAGAATTCATGTGGAACGTGCAATAAACAAGATAAAGAACTTCCACATTTTTGACAGAGTGATTCCACTATTCATTTTGTAAGTTGGTGAAATATCAGGGACCGCGGAGCGTAAATTTGTTTAGGGGGGTAGCGCCGAGGAGGTACTAGGGGGGTGCGGAAATTTTTGAAATCTTTTTCCGACATTTTGAATTTTCTTAAATAAAGAAGCGAAGAGTCTCCTTATGAAATTTAACCATATATATTCGATAAAAATTGTGTAAAAACTGAGCGTGAATAATTGTGATTTTATTGATAATATCGCTGACCGTGCGTGCGGTAAATATGTTTTAACAGAGTTAACAGAGTTTTTAATAGAGTTTTAACTCTCGGAATAGCCTCCGAATAGCCTCCTTCGCAGGCTACTCCATCGGAAACGGACATTTTTCTCTTCTTGGTCTTCCTGTGTTCATATTCTTGACCGAGGAACTGGTGTCGAGAGATTAGGAATTAACGAACAAGAGGAGTAGGCAACTCCTCCTGCTTTTCCTTCCTTCCTAGCCCCTCTCCCTCCGGCAGCTTTTTTGCCTTAACACAGGAATCCCACGGAGTAGAGTTGCCTGCGAAGGAGGCTACTCTCGGAAATGTCATTTCCAGCGTTTTTAGGCGTTATCCAAGACATATTTACCGCACGCACGGTCAGCGATATTATCAATAAAATCACAATTATTCACGCTCAGTTTTTACACAATTTTTATCGAATATATATGGTTAAATTTCATAAGGAGACTCTTCGCTTCTTTATTTAAGAAAATTCAAAATGTCGGAAAAATTATTGGTCTGCTCCGCAGTTCCTGAATATAGTTAATTCTTAGCCTACATAGCCTGCCATCGAGGTGTTAGAGAATGGCATCGTTCAGCTTCTTCTCACTGAACCCTCCCCATTCTTACGCGCGCGCGGCTATATATCTACATGCATAGGTAACCCAAAACACATTTCAAATGAATAACCAAGCAACTATTTTTTCCGTAAAAAAATCATTGATAGATGCGACCAAGGTGATATAATTTCAACAGTTATCAATGAGGTCAAAAATATAACAATTGTAATTAGAAAGTAGAAATACAGAGTCGTATATATTGGAACAAATTCGCGCGTCATGATTGGTTGAGAGCCGTGCGTTATAATAAAGTTATGACGCGTGGATGACSCCAGTGCATGCCCATTTTCCGCGCCCTTTTCTGTTGAATTCATTTAAAAAATAATATACAAGTTAAACAAACTTATTTTGTGTTTCCGCGCGTCTGATTTGTAATAGACACCACCGGTAACAACAGGTGGTGGTGTCCGCCGATTTAAAGTTGATTTCTATACAGTATTTTATTTATAGTTTTTCCTAATAAAGGATTGTTATCATTATTGTTTAGATTATTTGAGATGAAATGGCAAAGCTACAAAAGCGTTGCGGAYATTTTTSAAGACAAGAAAATGACGGCATTAGAGGTGTTCATGCCAAATATGAACATTTTCTGGTAGATTTSTGATGGTTTTGATTTTGGCATTACCGCAAGGTCCTCATTTGGCGCTTCGCCAAAATTCTAGTTGCTTGACTTCAGTATTATAAACACTAACTTATCGGCAACTGGTTCATCTTTATGTCATTAGCAACGATTATCTTCTGGTCTTTCTTTCTTGTTCATTATTGTGGCAAACACAATCGGAGCAAAAAAAGGCAATAGAGTAAAGTYTAACAATTCATTGTAGTCAGAAAATCTTCGATTGAAAGATATTCCATCATCTTCTTATTGATGCAAATAATGAACATTTAGAAAGAACAATGTTGTTTGTACAAAACCTACTAATGWCAAACGATTCAATTAGAGTGAATAGCGAAGGAATCCTTGTGTATTCCATACAATTTTTATTGTTTTAGCAACCCAGGACAGGAGTCCATGGGCTTCCTGTGCCGCATGTTGTAGATTTCACTGTTGTAAACAACCGAATTTTACGGAACTTTGACTCCAATTTTCATAGAAACAAAGCAAATACGCAAACGATTTTTTACATCCATACATTAAGCCAGGATACCTCCTTTCTCTCTTGCTTAGAAAGCTTGTGGTGCTTACATCTTACTGTAGATGTGCCTTCTTTCCAGGAGTGCCACATGATTTACAATAGAGACCCAGTTCTTAACAAGTAAATCTGCATCACTATTGCATTCCTTGGCACTCCACCAAAGATGGTTAGCYACACTTTTGATCAAAGGTTGAAGTGCTGTATAAGCCTTTGTTTTGGCCTTTTTTGATAGCTTCTTTGTAACCYACTTTGCTAGGTGCCAGACATCATRTTGATGTCTAATTCCCTTATGTCCTATTTCTCTAAAGCAAACTTAGAAATCAGGTGTATACACATTCACATTCTATTAATGTTTTGTCACCCTATTTAACACCTTAGTACAAGACAAAATTGTCTTATTAAGATAAGAATATAAGACAAAATAGCTGGTTTGGCTTGAATGATTTCAGTTCTAACAATTCCTATTATGTAATTTATTTTGTCATTGATTTTTATAAGACAACATTCTTGCAAATAAGTGTAAATGTTTAATTTTAATAAGGTAGATGTTTATTGATTATAGAGTTGTATAATTTATTTCATATATTATTGTAAACTATATATTTGTAAAGTGCATTTGTTCAGTAATTGAAATTATATCCCTCAAATTATTATTCTTACCTGTGTATGGCGGYCASTTGTCAAACATCTTATTGAGACTTTTCTCTTCAACAGATTATTCAGAGATCTTCTGCAGCCCTCGTACTCCATAGCATTTGAGGAGGATACCTCTGAGACATGGACAAGGGAAAACTCTGGAATAAGTCCAGACCTCTCATGCATTAAGCTGTAGGAGCCATATTTTGCARAGCGGCCTGGATTATCCGACCACACGAATCAACAGGCATCTCACCCTTGATAACTTTTTTTTTGTTTTTTGTAATGTTTGTCTACTATTGGTAGTACAGTGTTATTCTGGGTTTCATAAAAAGAGGTTTTCCCTATAAAGTTAAGGTTTAATGCATTGGCGAAATTAGAAACGTCTTGGTATGTCCCCCCTGTACATACAATTGCTGCGGGAATAAGGACATTGCCAGCAGGGATGTTATTACTGATAGTTGGTTGGGATTGCCAAATAAATTCATGATTTTGCAGACACAATGTTCTTATTGTCAACATACTGCCACTTGTTGTCTTTGATAACTGAGACACTGGAGATTTGCACTYTTGGCAAAATGCAAATAATTCATGAATTTTAGACTCAGGAGTATCACATGATTCATCTATAGAGTCATCGCTGCTCTCATCTGAGCTGTGGTATATATATAATTCATCATCATCATCATCTGAGTTATCATCGTCCTTACTTGAAGTACTTAGTCTATCACTTTGCACCTCATTATCATTCTCTATTGCCTCAATTTGAATTACACTTGAACTGTCATTCTCATTGACTTGAATTGGGGTGTTATTTTGGTTTATTTCCTGTACATTTGTATCAGATAAAACACAAGATGGAGGAAGTACCATGTAGTAATTGTGATCATYAAGTGGATTTAAGGTTATAGTGCTACTCATTAAAGAAGATTCAGACTGTACATGTTTAATAAATTTTCTATCTGTTTCACTGTTTGTTCTTTTTATACGTGTTTTTAAAGTTTGAGTTCCAATAGTTGAATACATAAGGAATTCTGTTTGAGTACTCGCATCTTTTAATTTATGATGATTTTCACCACCCTCAATTCAACGATCTGTGACTGTAAGTGTGATGGTTTCCTCGGGAGAACTAAAGCTGTTTGAACACTTTCGGCTATCAATTGATTTATTACCTTGAAAAAATATACATATTAACAGTTATCAGTGTCCACTTTTTGTTTTTAAAGCCAGATAAAAACGACAATATAGGATAATGATGTTGTATGGTAGCCTACCTGTTCTTTCTCTTGTTTTTCTCTTCGTTTTTCTGAAAAGACACGATGCCGCTTTTCTTTTAAATTGTGTTTGAAAATTGTTGGAATTGCTCCATGTTTTAGTTTCTTTTTCTCTTCTTGTCCAGCCAATTTCTTAAGCATTAAACATCTTATTACAATAAATAATTTAGAACGTAATTTTATTTATGCCTTCACACTCACAATTGTATCAAAAGTATAACAAGACTAGGCTTTTTGTGCTACTTTGTCCTTGCTCGGTTTACTGGGCATGCGGTAGACATAAGAACAACTCCCAGGATGGGTAAAATGGCTGTAAGCAAGCTTACAGCCGTACTTTATTATGCAAAATTTTCTTACAAAAATTCAACAAGTATAAACGAATGTTGAATAAGGAATGACCAGTAAAGGTGTGGGCAAAAATAACGCTTAACATAACATAAGAGAGAAAAGTGGAGGTAGATTTGCAGGGGCGGAGGGGGGAAAATAAAATTCCTTGAGAAAATTTGATCCAAGCAGTACCAAAGAAACTTGCAAAGAAGGCAGATAAGTATGGCAAGCCGTTGCTGCCAAAAGCTATCGAGATTTGAAGACTTGTTGAGTTTGCATTTAGTGTGCCGAGATGCATTTCAGACATGTTCAGTTCAAAATATATCCGTCGAGTTCCTCACTTTTGGTGTTGAGATCTCGACGAGAACTCGACGAGTTTCTTAAATTCTCGACGAGAACTCGACGAGTTTCTTAAATTCTCGACGAGTTTCTTGAATTCTC